TCCTTTCACGCAAAAGTCAAAGCTCACAGTAAAACAAAGGACTTCTTAAAATAGAAAGTTTACAATAAATTGCTTAGAACAAAAAACACCACTGAGACTGCAAATGCTGAAAGCACAGTAATTTATATAGAGGCACTTATACCCCACATATTTGTGTCAAAGTTAAGCTGTCACATATTATTTTAGGTTGCACGAATGTTCTCTTTAAAATGTTTTTGCTGCTGGTATTTTCTCTTCTCATTTCAGCAATCTTTCTATCCCAAAGACCACTGTGTTCATTACCCAGTACGTTTAGGTGTGATCACAGCAAAAGACTATCATCATGTTTTATTCAGTTAGAGCCTTTAAAATGAAATACATACGTTTTCAATTAACAAACATCCAGACAAATTTAGCTCTCACATCCCACTTTCTGTCACCCCAAAGGCTGAGGACACCCATTTCGGAAAAATATGTAGGAGAACCCTGAAGTAATTTTTTTTTTAAAAAAAAAGCTTTATAAGTCTTATAAATGAAAGCTGACATGTCATACAAGAAAAAATACCAAGATCAAACCTTTGAACATATAAAAAGAGAAGAACTATGAGAGGAAATGTTATCAACTCATCCTTTATTCCTTCAGCTGTGTCTATGGACTAAAGACAGCTTCAGACTGAAGTAACTTCCCGCATACCTCATGACAGCTTAAAATATGCATGAAGCCCAAATGATTAATGCATATACCATATCCTGTAGCCTAAAGCTAGACATCATATTTCTGATAGCATTGTAATATTATATTGCAACTGCTTTAACTTTAGCTTAAGAGCTTGTCAGAAACCTGCAAATACTCTAACTCCATTCCCTGCGTCTTGACGTACAATCAAAGTTTAGGTACAGATAACTGTACACTGCTGAATACATCAGCTCCCTGTGGTCACACAAGTGCTGACAAGACCAGAACTCCAAATAAATGGGAGCTGTTAGCAGCATATGGAAGCTCTCATTTCAACATGAATAGCCAGGCTGTTTGCAAACACGCTTTCCAATTAGGAACAGCAATTTCAGGTAGACAGTATAAGACTTTTTTGAATGATGAGGTTTGACATGCAGAGGAATACCTTCTCCTCTCAGACCACAGACTTCAGTTAAGACTAAGGAAGATGTGACAGGCTTGTACAGAGTCTGGTAAGTTCTGATTACATTGTTAAAATATATCATTTTATCCTTTTATTTACAAAGGAGTCAAAAGATTGATGTCAGTCTTTGCTATTGGTCACTTAGGATCACAAACACTTCACTCTTGCTGCTCAAATGCCAGTCCACAAGTACCGCAGTAAGATTAGAAATGCAAAATAATCACATAGATATGCAATCAAACATCTACTAGCTAAAAATACTCCAAATTTTGAAACAAACTAGGTTCCACCAACATCATATAGTATACTTACTAGATTTTAGGATAAGAATCAAAAGTAGCATCTTTTTATATTGCTCATCAGAGTTTAGGGCCAGGTTTCCATGCCACTTCCTAACTCATGTTTTCACAATTTCACCCTTTCTTACAGGACGTGCAAAAGATCAGGATTTTCTTTACAGTTCAATGCACAGTTCCCCATCAATACTTGACTGGTAAGTTCACGTATACAGGTATACACAGAACATGTAAATTAAGATTTACACATTACTTTCACAACAATAACAAGTGATAGATAATGGTCAGCACTTCTACCACTTCCGTATTACCTGCTGTCCTCCACAACTTCACAGTAACTGACAAAATCAAAACACAAAAAAGCCCAAAACAATTCAGCCTTGCTGTGAAGACCAAGTATTTTTCCTGAAGTTTAAGGCTTTTTCCTCAGAGCAAACCTGTCAAGAGTTATACCACTGACCAAGGTCAAACAAATGTCAGAATTAAACTTCATGTTTGCATCAAATTGTGTAAATATGAAAGAAGAGAGGTTTGACAACTTACTGGTAAGAAAAGTCCTCTGCAAAAATGTATGAAGTGTAGGACAGGCAAAGCTCTGATTAAAGTCAATAAACAGACTCCCCAATCACCAGCTGCCTTCCAAATTGCAGCTAGTTGAAATACTTTGCACAAAGGACGTCAGTCAACTGAGGTTTAAAGTAGCAACTGCTTTCATTGCACTGTTAATAATACAGGCAAGTTCCTAACAAAACCATTTGGACAAAAAAAAAAAAAATAATAATCAGAAAGCCCACCACGTTGGGAGCAGAAAAACCATATCTTTGTCTGTGCATGGCTTTTAAAAATATAAACATAAAACCTTAGATCACCTTTCTACATAACCAGTGACTGGACTGATGAACATCATGACTGCAAGTAAGAAGCTACCTTTAGGAATTCTGGTTCCATACTTCACACTACTTACAGCCAGGTCAATTTTAAACAGAGAGAACTGAATGGAGAAAGAAATACAGTATTTAACAGAAGTTCTGTCAGACCAACATGTAGAAATTTTGTATGACACATCTACAGACAGTTGACATATGCGCATCTTATTGATCATTTTTAAATCATGAAGAAGTCTCTACACTTACCACTTTGAGGTTTGTCAGCCCTGTCAAGTACATGAATTTCACTGAAAGTAATCTGGATTTACCCCTACAGAGCAGTTTATCTTAACTGAAGGCATTCTGTAAGTTAATCACAATATGTAAACGGATCGAGGGGAAAAAGCGATGTGATAAATGATGAGGACAGCACCCAGCACAGAGCTCACTGTCTCCTCCATCTCACAAGCAGATCCAACAACAAGTGGTCAGTTCCACGGATGTCAACACAACTTCTCACAGCTGCTTATAAAATGGAAACACATGAACTCCATCCAAGACAATTTACTAAGGCAAATCATCACTTTCCACAGAACTTGCCTTCAAATCTAAGAGTGAAGGTCTGAGAAATGGGTTTTCAACTAGGATGCTGATTTCCTTAATGAAAACATCTCAAAGCACATCAAAGAAACAAAATGGAGCAACTACAGAAATTCTGCTAAGTCTATAAAAAGTTATTTCTACAGCATAGCAGGATGTTCAAACTTAGTTTTTAATAATTTCATTTGCTGTATTTCATTCATTTCAATATGGTTGTAACCGCTTGTTTTTCAATATACTTACACTGTGACTATCTTAAAAGAAAGTAATTAATTTCAATAATTGAGGATACACAGCTCTGAAAAGCTAGGCATGTTTATTGGCTACCTTTCTAGAATGCAGCAATAACAACATACACACACAAAAAAAACCCTTAAGGTCTTCCTTAATTTTTCATTTGTTATAATTAAACACATGCAAACTCAAGGCTTTGAAAAGCTTTAGGAGCTATCAGGTTCATTTATATTGAGCCCAGCTCTTCATCTGGGGTCTTTTCCAAAGTTTATGGAAAAGGATATAAGAAGCCTTCCATCAATAAACAGGAAATTTTTAAATCTTTAAAGCTACAGACGGGGTAGGTTAGGAAGGTGGAAATGAAATTGGAGACATTCACCTCCATTCTGCTGACTCAAATACAGGCAGGACAAGAAACATAGGCAATTCCTCTCTGATGTAAACAGAAATCTACTGAGGGACAAATAGTTTACATCTACCAACCACAGAGCAGGATCAAGGCCAAGAGCTGTTTCTTGATACCTTACACATCAACACTCAGGCTGCACTCTTCCTCTACTTTTTTAATCCACTCAACATCTGCTGGATGGACAAACAGGTATACTCCGATTAATTAACTTGCTAAAGGAACAATGCTAACACCAGACTTGTTACCTTTCATTTCACATAAAGCATTCTTCCTTTTCCAGAAGTAATTGAAATAGCACTGAAACTACCTTAGTAATTTTCAAAGTGAGTTTTCACCAAATGTATTGACCCACCATTCATTCCATTGTATATACTTCTGTGGTGAGGTGACAGGTCATCTGTTACTTGTCTCCTGAGGGTACCTTCTCTGCTGCCTCCGCTGAGATGTTTGAGATGCTCTGGGCTCCCTCCATAGTGTTGTTTGAGATGCTCAGGACTCGTACCCCTCACTTTGTGGAGATGTTCTGTACTTCCACTTGGAGTATGTTTTTGAAGATGATCTGGGCTGCCACTGCTGTGCTTCTGATGCTCAGGGCTACTACCAGGCCTCTGCTTTTGAAAGTGTTCAGGGCTACTACTCAAAACATGCTTTGGGAGAGTTTCTGGGCTGCTGCTGCTGTGCTTTTGTTGTTCAGGTGCTTTGACAATGGTTTTGTGATGTTCCGGGCTTGGTCCTTTCAGGTGATGATCAGGACTGCCAGAACTCCTAGGCTTCTGGAGGTGCTCCGGGCTGATACTCCTGTGTTTCTGATGTTCAGGGCTTCCTTCACCCCGAGTTTTTTGAAGATGTTCTGGACTAGTACTTGGATGATGTTTATGATGGTCTGGACTGTCTGTACTTCCCGTGCTAGAAGTACTACTCCCATCACCAACATCTCTTACGTAAGCACTCGTCGCGGTTAATTGGCACAGGCTGATTTGGCTGTCGATAGAGCTCCGGCTGCCTGCTCCACCACTCTTCTCCTCATCCAGCAACACACACAATTCTTTCAGCTCCAAGTTTTCCTTAACCACTTCTTCTTGTCTCACTTCCAATTCTTTCAGCTTCTGTAAGTATAAGGCAACCTCTTTGTGCATAACACTAGCACTGTATCTGCCCAGTCTCTGCCATTCACGGGACACCTTCTTGCCTTTCTGCCTGTCATCATCCAGAAAGCAGCAAAGGTCTCTCAGTTCTTGGTTATCTTCTTGCAGCTTCTGGTTGATATCCTTCAAAAGAAAGATACTCATGACAGAGAAGTGTCTAAAACAATTAACATTATACCATTACCTTTACACAAGCCAGTGAACGGCACTGCTATAAACTCATTATCTAAGTGCTCAAGTGAGGCATAAATAATTGTGTGTGTAGATCTGGCATATTATAACAGCATCATGCTTCAAACAAGCAAAGCTGCTGTCCAGGAAAAAGTAACTATAACGTGGAACTCATCTTGAAGGGTTCAAAGATTAACTTCTGATCCAGCATAAAAGTTTTGAGTGCTTAATTAATTTCCATGCCAAACATCAGACTAATTTAGCTCCCAAACTGGGCAAAGATCATAAGCACTCTCACGATGATCTCACTCCCCTGAGAAATATTCACCTGCGAGTTACTGCTGAATAAAACTGCAAGGTACATCAGAAATTGTGATCTCAATTAAATAATTATTTTTTAACATTTATACTCTCTATTTCCCAACACATATTCACATATAAATATGAACTTTTAAGAGATTTTTAAATATTTGGGGTTTGTTTGATTTCATTTCAGGTTTGCATAAAAGAACCTTGACAGTCACCACCTAATCAGAATTGCTTCAAACACTCTGAAATGAAATCATCTGCTTTAATAGATCTTTCACTCCTAACAAAATGAAGTACATGGTTCCATACCCTTTAAGTGAGGAACAGTCTGAAGCAAAAATGTCCAAGCTATTCCTATAGAAGAATAATATGCCAAAGAAAATATTTTTGGTATTTTATCCTTATAGTTTTACTAAACTAACTTGTGACCATATTTACCTTTCTCCCATCTAAATATTCATTCCTTCTTATGTATGATGTTAGAAGCAGAGATTAGCCACAATTGTTAAAAATATAGCCTTATGGGAAGACCATTTTAGCAATGTTTCTCTACGAAAATGAAATCTTTTTTAACTCCACCGAGTTTGTGTGCATACATGCACATTTGCCTGATCTTTGTCTCAAAATAACTTTGAACATGGGCAATTTCAACCCATATCTGACAAGAGAAATCTCAGTGAGGCTACAAGGTAGCCTTAAAAATCTGTGCTGGTGAGAGATGTTTAAAATGGTGGAATAAAAAGTTTGATAGGAAGCCCACAATTCAACAGTCAGAAGCAGGAGGTACAGCTGGTCATTGTTACTCATGGACCAGTTATTTCACACGGGACAAAGGAGGTAGATGTCCAGACACCAACATAGGGCTCGAAACCTCATTCTCCCAAATTCCTTTCAAAAGTTCCAGCTGAGGCATCTGAACAAAAGGCGGATGTTAAACATCACTTAAGGAGTTCAGAATTGAGAGAGGAATTTGTCAGTCCTTCCTACGCATCTTGGTGTGTTTTGTTACTTATATGGAAGATGCATAAACCTGCATGATGTCACAACACCATTGCACATAACTGAGAGAAAGATACTATTGTTCTAACTTAACTTCCATTTAAAATGTAAGCTTTATTTTTACTTAAGTACTGCCATTGATTTGGATTTTTTTTACCCCCAGACACCATATATTGTCAAAAAGAGGGAGGGTACACACACACTCTCATACTTTGCAGAACAGGAAAACTCGAGAGGCAGGAACAGTCTTCCCCCACATGCTGTTTATTTTATGCCACACTATTCTCAAAGGCACTTTCTCAGTAATTTAGTTGTTTGAAGCCATTCTACAAGTCAAGAACTCCCTTCTAATACACTCTCAGGTAACAATTCAAAAGCCCACGCTGCATCTGTCTCCTCTCTTTCCAAAAAAACGAAGGAATTTCCCCAAAACAATGTCCTTTCTCAAAGCAACAAGACAAAAAATGCTTTGTAGTTGTGCCTACTTTAAGATATCTTTCTAGGTCTATAATACACATGTACATGCTACATCAGGGTCATTATCTGTAAATAGTCAGACTATCTTCCTAGTCCTGAAAACTGGGAAGGAAACATTAGGGACTATGCTTCTCACTGAAAAAGAGTTAAATTAAGAAGGGATAAATCACTACAGACTTGGTCTGCCCCTCACTGTAGTCTGCTGAAGCACACAATGAAAAATGGTCTGATCAGAGATACGTTACCAGAAGCCTTTTTCAGACTACAAACTAGAGACTGGTTCTGACCACCCCAAAACCAAGCCCAGGCGTTTGCCACGACCTGTCACCACATCCTGGAAATGACCAGCTCCCTCCAGCAGCCTACCAGACTGTCTGACAGAGGAGTAAGTCATCTTAAAACAGTGACACAAAACAGCGTCAGCTACACAAACTGTTTTTTTCACGTGCACTTCAGACAAAATCCTTAACCTCGCTAAAAGCCAATGATGCCTGACACAAAAGTGACAAGACTGAAGTGTTTTCATCCACCCAAAGCAAGCACACCGGGGCAGAGCACACGAGAGCTGTGCTCCA